CCAGCCCAGAATCTGATCCTTGATCTTGTTCCCCAAATTCCGACAAAAAAGTGGAAAATCGTCAGAATTTGGGGCAAAAATCGCCAATTTTGGGTCATTTTGGGGTCATTTTGGGGTTATTGTGGAGTTTTGGGGTAATTAATGGGGCTTTGGGATCATAAAAAGACCCCAAAGGTGACAGAGCCCAGCCCAGGGTCTCGTCGTTCACCTCGTTCCCCAAATCCCCGCAGAAAATGCGGAAATCGTCTGGGTTCGGGGCGAAAAACGGCGATTTTGGGTCAAAAACGGCGATTTTGGGTCATTTCGGGGTCGTTTTTGGGTAATTAATGAGATTTTTAAGGTTATTATTGAGGATTTGGGGTCACAGGAATGACTCAAAGGTCACAAAATCCAGCCCAGAATCTGATCCTTGATCTTGTTCCCCAAATTCCAATGAAAAACTGGAAAATCGTCAGAATTTGGGGCAAAAAACGCCAATTTTGGGTCATTTTGGGGTCGTTTTGGGGTTATTGTGGAGTTTTGGGGTCGTTAATGAGAGTTTGGGGGCATAAAAAGACCCCAAAGGTCACATAATCCAGCCCAGAATCTCATCCTTGATCTTGTTCCCCAAATTCCAATGAAAAACCGGAAAATCGTCAGAATTTGGGGCAAAAAACGGCAATTTTGGGTCATTTCGGGGTCATTTTGGGTCATTAATGAGGTTTTCGGGTCATTAGTGAGAGTTTGGGGGCATAAAAAGACCCCAAAGATCACATAATCCAGCCCAGAATCTGATCCTTGATCTTGTTCCCCAAATTCCGACAAAAAAGTGGAAAATCGTCAGAATTTGGGGCAAAAATCGCCAATTTTGGGTCATTTTGGGGTCATTTTGGGGTTATTGTGGAGTTTTGGGGTAATTAATGGGGCTTTGGGATCATAAAAAGACCCCAAAGGTGACAGAGCCCAGCCCAGGGTCTCGTCGTTCACCTCGTTCCCCAAATCCCCGCAGAAAATGCGGAAATCGTCTGGGTTCGGGGCGAAAAACGCCGATTTTGGGTCAAAAAACGGCAATTTTGGGTCATTTTGGGCCATTTTGGGAAATTAATGAGGTTTTGGGGTCGTTAATGAGAGTTTGGGGTCATAAAGAGACCCCAACGGTCAGAAAATTCAATTCAAGGTCTCATCCTTGATCTTGTTCCCAAAATCCCAATGAAAAACCGGAAAATCGTCAGAATTTGGGGCAAAAAACGGCAATTTTGGGTCATTTCGGGGTCATTTTGGGGTTATTGTAGAGTTTTGGGGTAATTAATGAGGTTTTGGGGGCATAAAGAGACCCCAAAGGTCACAAAATCCAAGATCGGAAG